GAATGGTGCTCGAGTGGCTATTTCTGATTTGTTTTATGTAAACTCATCACCACCGTCTTGGATAACCGAACAGTGGTAATTAGTTTATTATTCTGATGATAAAAAAAGAAAAAAAAAACTTGTAATGACTTCACTAGTAAGTTTTGATATATAAGGAAAAAACCTACATATCCAAGATATTGTTGAAGCTTTCCAAAAAAAAAAAGGAAGAAATTTGTAATGAGAAGATATTAGGATTTTGGAGATTGACTCAACGCGTTAATCTCTAACCATCCAACGGTTCTAAAAGCATACACACACCGAGTACAAGTCTTTCCTACTACACCGTATAAAAACCCCTTATATCGAAAAACCCCTTTCCAAGTTTCTCAATTTCCACCGTAACAAAGAAACCTCACAATTTCTCAGTGAAGCAAAATTCGCCAATGGATCCTCAACAACGGAGAACTGAAACTGCTCGCGGTCCTCCGGTCGGAGAAACCGGCGGCGATGTGACTTCGATTTTCCTTTCGTTCGGTGTTTTCATCGCAATCGCCGCTTTGGTATGTATCGTTTTTTTTTCGCTTGATCTCTATCAAGATTCGATGATGTTTATACAAGCATCCCTTTGCATTAGATAGATACTTCCTCGATCGATTTTGTGCAAAACCCAAATCGAAATGTTGAAGCTTTGTTTCCGAAGTTGACTTAAAGATGATGACTTGTAGTTTTCTTCTCGACCTAGATTTTTGATCTTACTTCGTTTTAGATTATTGCGTTTGTCTCAATCTGCACATTAAGGTGTAGTGTAAGGTCACAACCACACAACAATGGAACACCAAGCTTACCTTGCTATGTAATTGATTAGCAGGTCATGTTCCCTTCATCTTTGGTGCATCAAGTCCCTGAAGGTCACGTTGGTGCGTATTGGAGAGGTGGTGCTCTTCTAAACATTATTTCAGAGCCAGGTATTATTACTATTTATACTCGCTTTTCGCAGTGTTCATCATGGTTTCGTTCTTCTGTTGGTTTTTTTCGATTTGAAACGCTGTTTTATTGCTTCAGGTTTTCATTTGAAGTTGCCTTTCATAACCAACTATGAGCCTGTTCAAGTTACTCTACAAACAGATCAAGTGAGTCTTATTACCATAAGAAAGGTTGGAAGTGTTTAGGTTGTAGTTTTTTTTTTACTGATTGTAATTCTCTGTGGCTTAGGTGAAGGACATACCATGTGGTACTAAAGGAGGTGTTATGATTACCTTTGAGAAGATTGAAGTAAGACTCTTAAGATTTCTTTTTTGCTGCTAGCATCATCACCGGTTCTTAAAGTTTGTTGATCTTAATGACATGTATTGACCAGAATATATGTTTCTAGGTTGTTAATCGTCTACGTAAGGATTATGTCTATGACACTTTGCTCAACTATGGAGTGAACTATGATAACACTTGGATATATGACAAGATTCACCATGAGATCAACCAGTTCTGCAGCTCACATTCACTTCAGCAAGTCTACATTGACATCTTTGACCAGGTACTTGACTATATCTAGAATCCGTAGTAACAGTAATGGAAACATATATACTTTGATATTAACGGTTTGGAAGCTTATTACAGTTTCAGTTGGAATATTATGCTCATGAAACTGACTGCTTCATAGCAGTGGCTAAAGCTTACTTTGGATATTTCTACATTGTTTCTTACAATGATTTTCGGTAATTCATTCAATCAAATGTGTTTCAGATTGATGAACGAATGAAAGAGGCTCTTCAGGCTGATTGCACACGGTATGCTCCAGGAATTGAAATTATTAGTGTACGTGTCACAAAGCCAAAAATTCCAGAGAGTGTTAGACGGAACTTTGAGCAGATGGAAGAGGAACGCACCAAGGTACACTCTTTTCGACCCTTGGCAATTTGATTCCCACTGGTTTGCTTATATTTCCAGTTCTGTTATAATGCATGACAAAGAGGTAGGAATCGAATTAGCAATACAGAACGGTTTAAGACTGATTACACAATCGAAAATTAATGGTTTTTTGAAGGTCTTGATTGCTATTGAGAAACAAAGAGTTGCTGAGAAAGAGGCAGAGACAAAGAAAATAATGGCCATTAGTGAAGCCGAGAAAAACGCCAATGTTAGCATGATAATGATGCAACAGAAGCTGACGGAGAAAGACAGTTCACGGAGAGAAGCAGATATCGAGAATCAGATGTATCTTGATCGTCAAAAGAGTCTCGCGGATGCAGATTACTACCGGTAATAGCAGTCTCTTTTCTCATTTATTTCCCTTCTGAAATACGCAAACAAAGAACATTTAACAGCAGAATAAATGGTCTAATGTTTACTATTTTTTTGCTGTGATCAATGTCCCTAGTGTACTGAAAGAAGCTGAAGCAAACAAGTTGAAGCTAACCCCTGAATTTCTCGAACTCAAATTCATCGATGCCATTGCTCGTAATACCAAAATATTCTTCGGAGACAAGGTTTTG